TATTACATTGGCCTTGATAGTTTTTTATTTAGCAGTTACAATTTTTAGTTTAACTTGTGAAGAAACGAGCACACTGTGCTACTGTTTTGGCTCACGGCGCGCGTTCTTCGTGCTGGCTGAAATGTGCCGCCGTTGCCGTTGCTTTTGCTGTTGCCATTTGCCATTGCAGTAGTAGCCGTCGTTGTTGGGGCGCCGCCGTCGTCAATGCAGCTTTTTCAGTTTTCGCTTAACGCTCGTTCAGTCAAGTTGATTTTGCTGCACCGTCGTTCACTATTTAATTCGCGTCGCATACAAAATACAAAAACACATACACACATACACACATTCACATATATACACATATCGACTCACTCAAAATACATATACGCCGCGTCGCATCACACTCTGCGCCTAAACCGCGAACGAGGGCAGCCGTCTGAGTGGCTTCAATTTATTGTATATTATATAGCGCGGTGGTGGTAATACGATAACAGGTGCGACAGACACAGCATTACGATTGCTAGCAGCCACTGTGCATTTGGCGGACGGTGTCATCATCATCAAACGTCGTCAACACTCTCGTCGTCAGTCTGGTCGTCAGCGACGCGCAACTGCTGCGCCGCCCGCTGTCCGCATGGCGCGCAAGGATGATCCTGTCTTGAATGTGCGCTTTGTGCAATTGGTCGAAAACCATCCGTGCCTTTGGAACTCGACGCTACCAGCTTACAGCAAGAAGGACGAAACCCAGAAGGCCTGGCAGGAGGTCGCCAATGAGACGAAAGACACTGGTATGTAAGCGAAAAGCATTGTTTGCCTGCTGGCTGGCGCCGTCGCAGCTGCTCCCATTTCGTCTTTATTGCTAATAACCATAATTGTTGTTAGTGCTGGCATTGTTGTTGCAACTGTGTGTATGCACTATTGCTATTATAATATTTAGCGTTTACAATTTGCTATTGTTGTCAATGCACAATTTTTCTTACTGTTTCTGGTGTTGTTTTCCCATTTGAGTGTGTTCATGCGGTTGAGCTTTCGCATTTACTAGCACTATGGTAAGCTACCAGCTCACAATAGAGCGCAGCGTAGAATTGCGTGCCGTTCGTTCTTCAAAGTTTTTTGCATTCGCATTCGCAATGCATGTACTACACTGCACTTCAACGCTCGCCAGTCGCTCTCACCCCACACCCTACACCTCGCCAACGCTGCGCTCCCCTCACCCATCATCGTATGCACATATGTATATCGTACGTCGTACGCAGCTCTACGATTGTCGTTCGCTTGTAGAATATGTTGGTCAGTTGGCACTGGCAGCGCCCTCAATACGCTCAGTTACCATACCCACTGCTGCGCCCCCAACTTCTTACAATGTGGCTTTTCAATAGCGCGAGCTTGTGTAGGTGCCTTCGAGTGGGGCGTCGCACCACGTCGCTTCGTCAGCCGCCAGCCAATCGGTTTGTTTACTTGTTGCCGTGTTTTGCTGCATTTGCATGTGCGACATGGCGCACAAGGATGAGACGAAACGCGACGCAAGGCAGTACGTTAATACATCAGCACGACAACGGCATCGCAGCAAGGCAGCAAGGCAGCTGCAATTGCAGCAGAAGCTTTGCTTGCTCGCTTGCCTCCTCTATGTAAATACCTACATACATAGTATGTATATTGCATTTTCAGTGCTCAGAGCTTTTGTCACACCATACCTTCAACCGCACTCGCATACACTTCAATTATCTTGTGTGGTTTTCACAATCGCTCTCGCTTAGTCTCTCTCGCTTAGTCTCTCTCGCTGGTTGCTGTTGATGCAATTCTATGCCATTTTCAGACACTTTGGGCTCGTATTGCGTTGTTTGCGATTACAATGTTTGTGCATAGAGTTTTATCAATATGTTTTGCTTTATTTTAGTTTTTGTGGCGCTTGCAGCCAGCGCCGCTACGACTTTGTTTGCTCTACGAAATGCGTTTTCCGATATTCGGTGGAGCATTTTCTATTAAAAGTGCGAACTTTAAGTCATCCAAGAACAGAATTGCGCTAAGCACTAGTTTGAAGTAAGAAAAAGTTCTGAGTACCTATCTCCCTTTTTCGTGCTAAGTGCAAAGTAAGCTCAAAATTAGAAGTGCTTGCACATTCTGAACATGCATATATGTATTCATACATATGGATGAATGTACCCAGCTAGCACATCTGCTAGACAATTTCTGATATCAGACAAGTCGCACAAAAGTTGACTATTTAGACAAGTCGGCCGCTGTGGTGTAGTGGTAAGCAGTGCGCGCTTTCACTCACCAGCACCTGGGTTCAAGCCCTGGTCAAAGCAACATCGCAAAAAATTTAGAAAAAGGTTTTTTCTTAACAGCGGTCGTCCCTCGGCAGGCAATGGCAAACCTCCGAGTGTATTTCTGCCATGAAAAACAGCTTCTCATATCAAGGCGCACGCCACAAGATGGAGGAGAAGCTCGGCCAAACACTAACATATGTGTAAGCGCCAATCTATTATTATTATTATTTAGACAAGTCTTACAGGTTTCGTACAGATTTCTCGGCAAAGTTTCTGGAGAATTTTATTTGTTTCGTTATCCGATTTCGGACAGACACGTCTTATTATTCTTATTTCCCGTTATTTTCTGGTCAGACATCTATAAGATATCCTTCAGAATCGTCGGCAATTAAATCAGAATTTCCCACGAAGTGTCGGTTAGACTTCCTGTCAACCTCTCCATATGCTTCTCTGATCGATATCGGCCAGAAATCATAAAGATTTCAGACGTTTTTGCCGCCGAGTCTGACGGATATCTAACAGATTTCTGGCAATTTTGCTAGCTGGGTGTATACACATGTACATATGCACATGGATATGTGCTTATTAGACAGGGTCACGGAGAAAAAGTTTGTAATCATCCCAACTGGTTCGAAAGGTTACTTGGAAAGCGTCATAAAATTTTCCGTTCCTGATACGTCCGAAAAACAGCCAAAGTCGAGTTTTCTTCATAACTTAGCTTTTATTTATTTGTAAGGCAATTTTGAATTGTTATATGCGCCATACGTATAGTATATCGTTAAAAAGATATTGTTAAGTACCTACTACTATATACTTTCATATATAAGATCATATTGCCCTCAGTTACCTTCTTTGTCCAGTTAACTCACAACTTCTACCCATCCAAATTTAATTCTAGTACCGTAAATGTATACTTTATATTAAGTGATGCATTTCTCCGTATTCCTGAAAAGGTGCTTAGCTCCCACATCTTAAAATCTGATCATAAATAAAAAGAGGTAAGAAGAAAATCATTTTTGGCTGGCTTTGGAGCGTGCCAAAGATAGAAGTGTTTACGGCGCATAAATCCTCTCAAAGTAAGCTTTCAAACTAGTGGTCCAATTACAATTTTTTTTTTATATAGCGACCGACTCGGTCTAATGTATATACATACATATGTATGTGCCCGTCGGGATATATGTACATAATATTTGGGAGTATTTAGTATAAAGTTTACGAAATTTCCCTGATGATTTAAAGTTCGACATGTGTATCGTATCAAATACAAGTTTTTGGTGTTTCTGTATCCTCTCGAATTGTAAAAGTCCACAACCAAAACACATACAACAATTGCAGTAACCAATACAAATACCTTGTTACGCTTTAGTGCAGGCGTTCAAATGCGTGTTTCTCTTCTGAACTTGCAACAAACCGAGATACCAACAGACCAAACATCGAAATTTCTTGTGACTTTCAGAAGTAATCTGGTAGCTCTCTGGTGATATACACAAGGCCAATTTGTTGACCCGTGGAAATGGCAACAGACTACATCTATCTAAAGCCGCCCACAAGATCGGTATACTACTCACCGGCTGGCTACCTCACCGATTAGTGAGGAGGACTCCGTTACTGTGAAAGGGGAAATTTGGTGGAAAAATGTGGTTAATCAAACGCTAACTATCAATGGAGTAAGCCGAAATAACGGCGGTAAAAACTCACGGAGTCTTGACTAGATCCTTGGGGGAAGTAGCAAAAAAAGACTAGAAACTCCATTGGGGGGTGAAATAACACAAACGGCAATAACGCAAATTTGTGTTATTTCCCAATTGAATGTGAAACAACACAAATTTGCTTTAGTTCATTTCTCGTTGAGCAATAAGACCAACTTTTAAACTTAACAATTTGAGTAATAAAGCAAAATAGTGCACATATGTAGGTAGTCACCCAGTTACATTTGACAAAAAGTAGTACATGAACAAGTTAAATGGATTTGTAAATATACAATTTTGAAAGTGCCCAGCGTCGCGGCGGTCCGCGTTCGCGCGCCGCCTGCGCCACCCCGCGCCGCGCCGCGTTCGTCGTCGCGCTCGCGCTCGCGTCCCGCACCCCCATCCCCTCCTTTCGCAATTATGCACTAGTGGCATTATAACCGTTTAGAAAAAAGAAAAATCTATACTAATTATATAAAGAGAAGTCCCTTTTTTTTGTAACAGGTAATCTCGCGAACGGCTGGTCCGATTTTCATGAAATTTTGTATACAAATAGCTTTCGGTAACCACCATGTTTTAGACTAAATTTTTTCTTTTTTTCGGGTAGGTGGACCAGGGACCGGTCTATTCGAAAAAATCGTATTTATGGTCCGATTTGCTTAAAATTCGGTACATAAGTAGTTTTTTTAGCATATATTAGGATATATGGTAAATTTTTTCCGAGAAGTAGACCAGAGACTGATCTATTCGAAAAAATCGTATTTACGGTCCGATTGGCTTAAAACTCGGTGCGCAGGTAGCTTTTTAGCATGTAGTAGCATATGTGATAAATTTTTTCCGAGAAGTGGACCAGGGACCGATCTATTCCAAAAAATCGTATTTATGGTCCGATTTGCTTAAAATTCGGTACATAAGTAGTTTTTTTAGCATATATTAGGATATATGGTAAATTTTTTCCGAGAAGTAGACCAGAGACTGATCTATTCGAAAAAATCGTATTTACGGTTCGATTGGCTTAAAATTCGGTGCGTAGGTAGCTTTTTGCCTGGATAAGCTTATAGATTCCTGTTTTCCAATTTTCATGCAATTTCGAATATAAATAGCTTTAAGTAACGACCATATCAAGGGGCGAATTCGTCACTAGGCAAGATTTTTTTGCGCCAATCAGAAACAACGGATACTGAAATATAATTATAATATATAATATATCTCAAGTAATATATATTTAGAAAGCCGTTTGTTAGTTTTCGCAAGGCTCGAGAGCGGCTGAACCACCTACTATACTGTAAAGCTTCTAGGACATTCACTATAGAACCGGGTCATTGTTGCCGCCAGGGAGTGAAGAGGAAAAAATTTATTTCGCTTTGCTAATAACCGTGCTATGAAATGCCGCACAACTGGAGAATTTCAAGAACGGATATAACACTTTCCTTAGGTTATTTAAAGCGACAAATGACCACCAAACCTTAATCTTAGCAGACTAATGTGCCAATGAAAATCGTAAACGTGAATTGTTGGTGAAAATGTTGGACCAAAAACGGGACGAAGTTCGCCGGGTCTGCTAGTAATGAAATAAAACCAGTTCACTTCTGAAACTGCTTTTCAATGTCTGCATGCATCCCACCCATAGTGAAATTTACCAGGTGCCACTGCCTTATTTGAAAATTTGCCTATAAAATGGGACTATAAGGCAGCCGAATGTCAGAAAATAAAGCGAGAAAGCAGTTTTATTACTTCATCTGTTTAATGCGACATCGTTCCCTGTAAACATTTTAAGGTTTTCCAGCAATGTTTTTAACATAGTAAAAAGCATGCAGATAAAATTCATACAAAAGCGCTATGTCCAATATGCCGAGCAGTTATTGAAGACGATGCTTTCCCTATATTTTGTTAGACTTTTCATAAGTAAAAATATTTTGTGAATATTACTTTCTTCATATGAATTATATCACATTTTTTGTTTAATTCAAGGCCTATCAAACAGGTTGAGAGCATTTGAGCAAAAACAACATTTGCCTGTATTTTGTTGTTGCTTCTGGTATCGAAAGTGTCAAAAACTGTTCTAATTTTTTCTTCTACATCAAAGCGTGTCATGTGAAATACAAAAAGATACCAAATTTAAATTGAAAAAATTAAAATTGTTGCAACTTTCTTTCTTAGTAAATTGGTTTGCTTCTCGAAGAATTAATCCATCCTGTGCCAGGCCCAGTAATCAGCGGTTGTGCTGCCGAGTTGGGCGAGCGTTCCAAAAGCAGCTATTCATTCGCTGGTTTTGTATGGAAAAAGGTTTTACATGCAAATAGACTTTAACAATTTAGAATTTTTGTGAGAAGAAATTAAAAATATTTGACATTTTCGAGAACAAATAATTTGAAAACAAAAAAATCAAATCAGCTGCTATACTACCTGTCCAATGTGCCTTGGTTTAATTGTATTTTTGGAATAAACAAAGTTCTTTTTGCTTCTGTCAGTAAACTGTTTTTTTACAAATAGTATAAATAAGCAATGGGAAATAAAGCAAAACTTGGATTTTGGTATTAGTTCCAATTTAAAAAGGAAATAAAGCAAATTTTGCGTTATTGCCGTTTGTGTTATTTCACCCCCCGAAACTCATAAATGAAAACAATGAAAAAGAAGTAATGCAAGTGGGTCTAACAAGGCCACGCTGGCTAAGATCGTTGAAAGTTTTTCGTAAGACAATTGAAAGCCAGTAGGCAAGATATGTAGTTTGAAAGACTTTGCTTATTCTGGCACGAAGTCAACACACAAACACTCAGAGTCTAAGCGTCTTGGTAAGCACATCACTGTTGACAGTTATAAGTTTGAGAATGTAGACGACGTCGCTTATTTGGGAACCAGCATTAACACCAATAAATATGTCAGCCTTGAAATTCAAGGGAGAATCACTCTTGCCAGCAAGAGCTACTTTGGACTAAGTAAGAAGTTGAGAATAAAGTCCTCTCTCGTCGTACATGCGTGGAGGCATGGACACTGAAAACGTCTACTTAAAAGGGCTCCTGAAGTTTTCGAGGGAGAGATTCTGCGAAATATTTACAGGCCTTTGCGCATTGGCGATGACGAATTCCGCAGACGATTTAACGTTGAGCTGTGGTGTAGTGGTTACCAGTGCGCGCTACCATTCTGCAGCGTCTGAATTCAAGCCCGGTTCAACGCAACATCAAAAAAAAGTGTTTGTTTGCGGTCGCCCCTCGGCATGCAATGGAAAACCTCCAAGTGCATTTCTGCCATGAAAAAGCTTCTCATAAAAATACAATCACCGTTCGAAGGAGAAGCTCGGCCAAACACTAACATAGTGTGTAAGCGCCAATCTATTATACTTAAATTACGCGACAGTGTCGCGATGCCTGTATTACCATTTGATATCAAATGACTTGAAGAGTTACATACTTCCCAATTCTGACGGAGTTGGTAGTATTGATAAACGCCAATTTACTTAGCCGTATTAGTTTCAATGGCATACAAAATTCAGACATCGTGGGATAAAGGCAACTCCGTTTCGTGCTGTCCCCCGGAACTACGTCAAGTAGTTCGTCGGGAGGTGGAATTGAGTTGTTGGCTCTATTCACAGTATCTTGTCTAATATATAACAGCCAGTAAAGTTTTTCTTTTAACCAAACCCAAACGCTCATTTGCTATTAGCTTCGCTTTTATGCTGATCCTATTAGAGGTTTACGCCGACAGGCTTTGCGGCGGCGACGTGGTCAACTTTAAAAAGAATCAGCGGCGACGCCGGCGCGTCTGGAAACGCCGGCGCTACTGCCCTTAAGGTAGATTCCAAAGAGCCATGAGGCTACTAATCTTATTATGTCATCTCGTCAGCATTAGGCATTAAGGTTGATCTACTCTTTCCCAAAAGTTTAACCCATCAACTCGAAACAGAACGGCCCTTTTTGACCCACTGTTTAAAAAAATGGCTTATAGATGGGTTAAATTTCCACTTAAATATTAAGCGCCAAATTTTTATAAGGAGAACCGAATGTAATGAAAAATAATACCAATTTTTACCAAAAAGGAGGAACTTTAACCCTGTGTAGAAAACATTGCGATGCGAAGGAGCAAAACATTTCTGGGGTTTGACTACCACTAAGGAATGCCAACATAATTTTCACACAGCCACCTATTACTTGTATACGTATGTGGGACCCCAGAGTAAAATAACTTACGAATGTAAAATTTAGCAAAAAAAAGTGTTTGATTTTTATTTAAAGTCTGTTTAAAATATAAAAAAATACACAGGAAAATCAACTTGTCTTTGTTCTATCTCTAATAATTGAGGAGTTAGATGCAATGAAGCAGCTTCTGTTAAACTGCTTTCTAGGATATTGGCATTAAAGTTTTTGATGTGTTATAACCAGGGAACGGATTTTATGGAAATTGCCTTTTTTTCTGCTAAAGAGATAGAGTATATTCGATTAAGAATGTCCACGATTTAGCTTTCCCTGATTCCATATATACACATTTAATGTTGCCTTTTTTAAGATATTTGCCTTTTTTTGCCTTTTCTACCTTTAAAAAAGTGATTATAGCATTTAAATTTTGTTCATACACCATGAAAATTTTGTACAAAATTCTTTAGGCGCCGAACGCCGCCGCCGCCGCGCCGATATTTTCGTAACTCGGCGGCGGCGCGTGAGGAATGACAAAAAACGGCGGCGGCGTGGCTCGGCGGCGTATACCTCTAGGCCCTATGGTACGAACAGCTTCCTAGTTTCGTTATGTTTCGACTATCTTGGGCGCTAAGTTCCGGAAGGTAGAGCTGGATTCAGCCGTGACCAGACAACAATTTTGTGATGTTAAAGTCAACCTCTCCTATATATATAAATGTCGTTGAGCAATACATACATATACTTCACATATTATTATTTGGTGTAGGTAAATATTTTATTAGAGGTGTATTTTCATAAAACATAACTTCAGAGAACTTTCCTTTATTATGTATGTACATTAGGGTGGTCCAAAACAAGAAAGTCGGAATTTTAATGCTCTCACCCCCTAGGATTATTCTATATCGAAAGAAATATACCTCTATTTTTAATTTTTTTTTTTGAAATCAAAATCAAAGCGCTCAAAGTTTTCCATGCATTTTATATGGGGGAAACAAGTTTTCGTAGAAATGGTATGGAATTCTTGAAAATCAATATTTTACGATCAGAAACCTGTGGTTCTCTTCAAGAGTTTCCCAATAACAATACCCAATTGTTTATTTCACCATTTTTTAATACCAATTTTTTTTATTTTTTTCTTTATTGCATTTTCTGACATTTTCTGAGGGTTTTTGCGGACCTATAAAATATAGTTACTATAAAGGAATGGTTAAATAAATAATTGGGTAATATTATTGGGAATGGAAAAAAATATTGATTTTCAAGAATTCTATACCATTTCTACGAAAATTGTTTTTTTTTTCATATAAAATACATGGAAAACTTTGAACGCTTTGAGTGACCTCTAAATATATTTTGATTTCAAAATAAAAAATAGGGGTATATTTTTTCGGTATAGAACAATCCTAGGGGGTGAGAGCATAAAAATTCCCACTTTACTTTTTCGCATGCATTTTTGGACCACTCTAATGTACATACATGAATCATAATTGTGGTATATATTTTCCAAACTCCGCTTCGTCCCTTTATCATTCTGGGGGTTTCTCTCTGGGCGATTTAAAATGAAACTCTGGACTGGTGGAGTTTTGTGTTAGGAAAGTTATTGTTGCAGTATTTCGATGGTTCTACAGCAGCCAACAGAAATTTTATCACACCCATATTATAAATGTGCTGGATATGCAAACATCTAAGAATTTATGCAACAACTAACATTTGCCTACTCCTCAACAAATACCTTTTGTAAAAAAAAAACACGTTTGGTTCCAAAATCATCCGATCTTTTGAGTTATCACATACTAGTTATGTATTTACATTTGAAAAACAAGTGTCAATTAAATGAAAACAGTTTCATATGCAATTCTTTTTTACTTGCAGTGCGAAATTGCCGCGAAAGATGGCGCACAATAAGGAGTAGTTTCCTCCGATCGTTGAAGTTGTCACGCACTAGTACTGGTAGAGGCAAGCGTAAATATTACCTATCTAAGTATCTGCAATTCTTGATTCCTTACACAAAGACGCGCCTAAAGAACGGCAGTTCTTCGTCAAGTATAATTGCGCAACGCAAAATGACGCCGCAACCGCCCATGACGCGCATCAATCACATACCATTACCTATAGTCAGCAGTGATGACACCAAAGATTCCAATGCCACAGAGGTGGCAATAGCCGAGGAAGATGTTGTGGTTTCGCTGCATGAAGGAGCTACAACACAGCAGCATCGCATAACTGTGCATCCGCCAATGGCGGCCCCGTGCGCCATACCAGTACCAGTCGTAATTCCGGCACCGACCGCCATCAAAACGGAACAGGGTACAACAACGCCAGAGCATGGACGATGTACAGCAACAGCCGTTCCCAGCATGAATGCTTGTGCCATCGTCGGTGGTGCTACAGGTGGCAGCGGTAATGCGGCAAACCATAGTGCTTTTGCCGCAGCAGCGGATTCGCAACCAACTCCGCGTAGTGCATCTGCCGTCGATCTGACGGAGTTTGCCGAGTGGATTAAAAGTAAAAATGAACATCATCGCCAATGTTTAATGCCCTCCTCACCTGATGCTGATCAATCATTTCTCAACAGCTTGCATCCATTTCTGAAGGAAATGTCCGGGAAACAGAATCGTCGCTTCCGGCAGAAGGTGGTGGCGCTGATTGATGCCATTCTGGATAATGCCGACTGAGGCGTACACGTGCGATGCGTAACGTATAGCAAATGCGGTGGTTAAGGTGGTGTTGATCGTGGTAATGCCGGAAGTGCTGGGAGTACAGAGCCAAGAGCAAGTGATCGTGGACGTGAACGTGAAAGTAGCAGTGGTGAAAACAGGGTAGACCGATGTGAAAGTGAATTGCGATCGCTTTATTTTCACATCGAAGTCTACAATATAAGATTTCAAAAAAAAAAAAAACATTACGCACATGAACACCTTTATACTCTAGCGCCTGAACGCACACTCACACACCTACCTACATACACACAGTTAGACACTAATACATACATTATATACCTGCATGCACACCGAAACATGTGTATTGTGAAATCTGTTGTTTTTATTAGAGAAAAATATTTTTTGTTTCCAGTGGAATTGAAATAAATGCTTTATTTTTTGTACTCTTTGCATTTTATATTTCTTTAAATGAGCTGGTACATACTTTAGCCAAAGAATATCCTTATGTATGTAGAACTTCTACATTATTTACAGGGGTGAGTATTATTTCCCATACAATCTGATGCTCCAGCGATGGGGAATCCTATGTAGAATTGCTCGGTGAATCCGAAATTCGGGTTAATTTTTTTCTATGGATACATTTTCGAGATATTTGCAGTTTACCGTTATTCAGCTTAAAGCAAAAATTGGTTCCTTTTAATCACGTATATCTTACGAACCAATTTAAAAATCTTAATATAAATGAAAGGCAATGAAATTCTCCATAAACCGTATATACATCACTTTTCGATAGGGCTTATAGTTTCTGACAAATTAATTAATCATTCCAGCTTTTTTATTTTTTAATGAAAAAATAAAAAAAAATCAAACTTTAACAGAAGAAAACTTAAAAAAAAAACAGTTCTGTGCCAAATTTTTGCGTTTGTAATAAAGCCTGTTCTGTTACAAAAAAAAAATCAAGTTACTGATGAAGGAAATCGGTGGATAAATACGAAATAATGAATGGTCAAATAAAAAGGCGCAAGATTATTTTTATGAAGAGCATGAAAGAATGTTACTCATACGCCGCGTACACCTAAGTAACACGGTTTTCTACTTATATTTCATACAAAAAATCTTTGCGCATTTTCATTTGACCACTCATTATTTCGGATTTATCCATCGATTTTCTTCATCAGTAAAAATTTGGCACAGAACTGTTTTTTTTTTATTTTTTTTCTGTTAAAGTTTGATTTTTTTTTCATTTTTTCATTAAAAAATAAAAAAATGGAATGATTAATTAATTTGTCAAAAACTATAAGCCCTATCGGAAAGTGATGTATGCACGGTTTATGGAAAATTTAATTTGCCGTATTTTATATTAAGATTTTTAAATTGACTCGTAAGATATACGTGATTAAAAGGAACCAATTTTTGCTTTAAGCTGAATAACGGTAAATTGCAAATATCTCGAAAACATATCCATAGAAAAAAAAATTAACCCGAAGTTAAAAATGCTACCGCTTTGTTTGTACTCGTATGTGCCATATATTAAAATGTATCAGAAAAGCAGAATTTACATATGGAACTATATGAATATCGTATCAAAATTAGTACCTTTGCAAGCAATAATTATGTGTATCTTTGTATGCCACCGAAATCGATGTTGTATGCATAAGATTTCTACTGGGGCATTGGTGCAACAGATTCTTAACGTACTATAGATACCGCTGCGTGTTTCTTTTCTGCGTAGTGTAAAAACATAACCTAAGAAATAAGTATAAGGATAATCATAATCCGGTGCATATGGTTTGCATTGCATGTTATGGAGCAAATTTTAAATTGACCGTCACTGTAACCATTGCAGCCAAATTCTCGTGTTTAATGATTTAGTTCGTTCGTTAAAGTGAACTAAAATTTTCTGTGGCAATATTCCAATAAAGATGTAAATGTAATTTTAACACATATGGCATGTTTTTCGTTGTAAGGGCATAAAGAAACAACTGCTCGGAAGCTTTATTAGAAAGACATATTGAATTTTTATTTTTATATTTTAAGTGCACAATCAGTCTCACAACAATTAATAATAATAATAAATTGGCGCTTACATATATGTTAGTGTTTGGCCGAGCTTCTCCTCCAACTTGTGGCGTGGACCTTGATGTTGTCACACAAAGCGGAGGGACCTACAGTTTTATGCCGACTCCGAACGGCGATTGTATTTTTATGAGAAGCTGTTTTTTCATGGCAGAAATACAGTCGGAGGTTTGCCATTGCCTGCCGAGGGACGACCGCTGTTAAGAAAAAACTTTTTTTCTATATTTTTTGCGATGTTGCTTTGACCAGGGTTTGAACCCAGGCGTTGCGTGTTACATACTTCTAATTGATTGTCAATTTAAAATTTTTCGATATCAAAAGTAGCCGTTTCTTCGTCCAATATCGTTTTGAAAAATTCACGTCTTCCAAATCCCTAAACTGTTTCTCCAGTAACTTAGATAAGCCTTATTTTTTTCATTTGATATTTTATTGCCTAACCCAGCACTTTTGAAAACTGTTTGCCTTTCTTCAATTCAAATATTCAGTGGATTCGTATTTAAAATTTGGAAGGGTTTTAGACAAACATTGACGAGTATTCTTAGATTTTTGAAAGAATATATGCTTCATATTTTGTATTGTCTAAAATAATTACTTAAAATTGTGATGGCGTTCTTTTTTCATAAGCCAAAACATCAAACTGTCCCTGTCGGGAAACGCACTAGGGCCGAACTGGTTCTGTACTAGAGAATTTAGAACCATACTCTTACTCTTTTGTATGCTACCAACTGGCGAATTTAACATTGCGATGTCCTACGGAGTGTCGATTGCCGCCCGCTGTATCCCTTTATCGATAGTTCCAAACTAGTCCTAAAGTCCATAGTTCCGAACCAGTTCTAAAACCGGCAGACGAAAAAGTTATCAGAGGTGCTTGCTTTTGTTGCTCAGATTCCAGCAGGTCTCATGATGTTAAAATGTCAACACAAATGTTTGATTTGTATTACCAAACTATGAAAAATCATCTGCGAAATGCAGAATGAAAGCGTATTTGAAGGAAAAAGCCGCCAAACAAATATGTATATGGGTAAATCTTTTGAGACGGAGACTTTTCAATTAAAAAAAAAAACTTCAATATAGTAGCACAATCTTTTTTCATATATGATCACTTGTCAACCCAATTGAAGTACTTTATACGCGGGTTATAATATTTTTT